TGACAAGACCTGCTAGCTAATCAGATTGATATTTATATCCCAAAGGAATGTGCATGGTATTTTGGACAATATGTAGGGTTTAGTGCCATACAAAGCAAATCCTCTCAGTTTGCACCTATTTTAGTGAAATTTTTTTTTTTTTTTGTGTATAAATTAAAAAATACATATATTTTAATTGCTTTATGGTAACAAAAAATGGACATCTTCATAATTGACTTTATCTTTTAAGGGCTCAATTCAGATATGAATTACCCATGAAACACTACTCCTGCAGTTAACCTAGTAGTCTTCAAAACATACTAATACTGATACATTAGTAATAGATATATCTGATATACAAGTACAAGCTCAAAGACAAAACTTCAGCCCAAATTACTTTTAATAAGTTGTTATATAAGCTTTGGTTAGCTATGAAAGTCTAGACAGCATTTACTCAGCAGTAATTAATTGCAGGGTGCACATTTTAAAATGTGTCCATTTGCAGAATGAAGGTTGTCAGCTGCTCAGCAGGACACAGGAGAATGGATCAGTTGTGGCCAGGAGGGAAACAGAGCAGTGAAATCAGTGATATTTGGTTCTTCCTTGCTGTGCTGAAAAAATAAACTTCTGTAAGGTCTTAAACAGCAGCTAAGCTCAAACTGCAGCTTTTCTCTTACTGGATATTAATAGGAATCCCCAGTCAGTTATCTCATGAAATTTATTGGAACTTAATGGCCTTGAGAATAGTTGAAATTGGCCAGTGGTGTAAAAAATCATTGGGAGAACATTTCACACTGACACACAAACATGGCTGGACTATTGCTTAGGTTTAAATAACATTTGAGTTACGAGAACATTTAAAATAAAGCCTATCCGCTAATCACTATAGCATAAAGCTGCTGTCTTTCAAAAATTATGTACATGAAAATACAGACAAAACCTCATCTATCTCAGTTCCCCTTGATTTCTTCCAGAGAAGAATTTTTAAAATAAGTACTGACTATGTTATTCTAAACCCATGCTGTGTGGTAAATTGAAAATTGTGAAAACTAACTTTTCTGGATGATATAAGATCAACTGAACAAGTCACTTCTAAAGGCATTTTATCCCAAACAGGTGGAAATCTAAATGAAATTGTTCAGTTTTGCTGCTGGGAATCTAACTGTGCCTTTGGCTCAGGTACCTAGGAAATAATTAAGAATATGGCCTGGGATCAGAGACAATCTGCTAATTGTATGGAAATTATTGAGCATTCAAGAGGTAATCATTGCGGGGAGCCCACACTGAGATTACGAAGCATTTATAGCGAAGAGTTTTGGAGTTTATTTCTGTGGCAAACCACCACTTGCCCGAAGGTGGCACCAAAGACAGGCAAGTCCAGCCCTGACAGGGCTGCAAGACTGGGAAAATCGAGGACCAGGATGAGAACAAGATAGGGTGAGAACAAGGAGGGTGTTCATCAGAGGAGGAGAGAGGAAGGACCAGCTATTTAAAAGAAATAAAGTCTAGCCTAGCAAATCACTTGAAAGAACAGGAATATAAAGAGAGAAAAATCTGAGGTAATTCCTGAGGACTTCCCTTTCATGATAATTTAAAATAACAGGCTACTCACTCTAACCTAACCAGGGTTTACTGTGTTTATTTTTATGTTGGCTAAATTTTACAGTCCATTATGGAGATCATTGCAAATATAAAATCAATTTGTTCTGGAAGCCTAGGAGTTAAAGCAGGAAGTCAGTGTCTAGAAAATAGAGCGGATCAATATGTCATTGTGGTAGAGCTGGTGTGATTCTCTTTGAGTCAAACTATTTGCATATTCTGCTTGGACAGAAGTTCCCCTTTGAATTTAGGGTCAATAAAAGGAAAGGCAGGGAAAGGCATTGTATGTACCTTCTTTTTTCTATTGTAATTGGAGTGGTGATCTATTTTTCTCTTCTGAAGCTTGATATACAAAACTGATTTTCTTGTTTTCATGAGTGTAGGACTTGCTGACAAACAAATTGAAAGTTCTGGAGCAGCCATATTTCAGCTGCTGAAGTGCTCTATAGGTCTTTGGTGCAGAAAGTGTACCAGAAAGTTCAGACCAATATAATGGTATCTTTCTGTGCTTACAGTCTGTACTGGTTTAGATTCACCAGTTTGAGTTTCCCAGCCACTTCTCTCTTTCAGCAATGTCCAGGGCCAATTGAACAGGTTTGAGTTCAGCAAGTTCAATCAAAACTAATGTGGGATTTAGGTTTTGTAAAATGCGAACACTTTAGTTCATGCTCCACAGTATCCTCTTATTAAAATGTTTTAAAATGCTTGAAAAATGGAGCATGAAAATATTGGGTATGTGTCTGTTCAGGGATTTAATCAAGATGTATCTATTTCAGTTACCCATTCCAGGAACTTAATCCTGCCTTGGCCCCCTCTGCCCACACTGTTTGTGTGAAGAGCTCCAGGCGCCTCTGATGATGCTGCATCAAAGATTTTCCACATGGGCTGGCTGCTAACTCAAAGAAGAAACTGTACCAGTCTATGTGTGCAATGAATGTTCTGACATCCCCTTGCCCTTTATGTGCTCTCTACTTGCTAGAAGATGATGGAGATTTCAAACAGTTGGAGAGCTGAAATTGAATCTCAAGTTTACAAATGGCTTTTGGATTGGGATTTCCAAAGCAACATGAAGTTAAGGGACAGCCAGCTTTGACTAAATACCAGGAGGTTTTATCTCATGCATGGTTCTGCTCCTCTTTCAGGGCAACCCAAAATTTTGGTTTAAGAGAGATGGTGAATTCAGTGACTAGAGCACTAGGGTGGGTTTGGGATCGTGACCCTGGCCCTCTGTATCCTTTTTCTAGGAGCTTGTGGAGGACAATGGATTTTTTTGTGTTTTGTTCCTGCTTAAAGGGATCCTAGTACATCTTTATGTCATAAGAATATAGGGAGGATTAGAGATTAAACTGCTCACACAGGGTGATCAAGGGACTGAGGTGTCTGAGAACTCACAGTCTTTGGGCCTAGTGGAACTCAGATCTACCACTCACAATTTGGGTTGCTCTTTAATTGTCTTAAGTGAAGGTAAAACACACAAACTGCATCTCCTTTATGCTGGGAATTATGAAGCAGTCTTATACTGAGTATTATTATAGTGAATAGGATAGTCTTACTCTAAACCTGAGAGCAGGTGATCAGTGTGAAAATACCAGGGGTTTTTAGATTCTTTCTGATTTGATGTAGCATAAAGAATTTCTAACAGAATGTTCTCAGCAGTGTTTTATTTGTTTAATTCATTCATAACAGCTTGATGCAGAGGATTTAATCCTTACTTATCAGATGCCCAGGGAGGTTATAGAACCTCTATCCTGAAGATACTCAAACTCATCTTAGAGCAATGTGGCCTTCTGCGGGAGTGATTGGACCAGAGACCTCCAGAGAACCTTCCCATCAGGAATTACTGTCTGCTTCTGTACCTTAATTATGGTAACATTGTGATACCAGCCATGTGTCTCTTTGATGCTTCAGTTGGCATTCATATAGACATCCTGCAACTGAAGTTTTTCTTTAGCATGATGGCATTGTCAAGTTCAGAGAACACTCCATGATATTCCCTAAAAAATTGAAAGCTGCCATTGACTTAAGTTAATTAAAATGAACCTTGCCAGAAAACATCACATTTTTTGAATTTGTTTCTTTTAGTTGAAAAACACTCTTTTCTAGTTTGGTTAAAATGTGGATCTAAAATGTGGGTTCTAATGCCAACAGAAACCTTAATATAGAGTAGGTGGTATTTTTTTCTGAAGCCTATGAGCTTTTGTTTTTTTAATTGGGGACTTCTTGGAGTTTTATTATAATTCCTTAGAATGACATGGCTGGATTATTTTAATAAGATTTAAAACACATTTTCTTGCCACTATTTAAGAAGAACAGATTTTCTTATAAGCATGAGTAAAGTTCCTGCACACACAAGGATTTCCTGATTCTTGGGAGTGCTTCATCCCCCTGTGGCAGCATAAGGCAGTAATGTGCAGTTGTTCAGCATCTCTGAAATGCAGGATGGGCCACCATGCAGTCTTGCATTTCTTGCATTCCACATGAGACTCTCAGAGGTGCAAGGAATGTGGTGTCAGGTCTGTCACTTCTGGTACTGTATGTGCCATCTGCTCACGAGCCAGTGATCAGCAGTGTGAACAGCTAATGCATATATTACATCTGGATATTGCTGCAGATCCAGGTTGCCCCTGGTTTTTTTCTTCAGCAGGGAAATAATTAAGGTAAAAGAAACCAACAGAATCTCATCATTATGCAAAATATTTCAGTGCTGCAATTAACAGCAGCTATAATTTAAAACCAGATTTAACATCAAAGGCAGTTGAGATAGAATTAGGATTTATAATCATTATAATTCTGCCAAGGCTTCAGCGAGTCTGATTGCTAGAATTCCTCTTTTGCATTAGCCATTTTAAACCTGCCGACCGGCTCTCTTACGTGCCTGGGAATGAGGGAACTGTGCTTGCCTCACATAATCATCTCACAATTCATGGTAATGCCAACACTGGATGCTACATAAAAGTTCCAGAAGGCTTTGTTTCTGCTCTTCTTCAAAACAGCTGCCAAATCATAATTATTATTCAGTTTCAGCGAAGAGTATTAAAATGACAGTCTGCTGGTGAGCTGGAGCCACACAGCATGGGACATGGGGAAGGAAACAGCTAAACTGGGGTGGGGAAATTCCTGACATGCTCAGCCAGGGATGCACAACATCTACTCAGCCTGCTGACATCTGCATTTAGCCATGAATTGTCCATTAATGAAGACAATGCTATAACAAATTCAAAATCCTGTGAGACATTTACCAAAGGGAAGACTAGTTCTTAGTTTTCAGACTGAGAAAAATGCCTGGTATTATGGAACATATAGATAATAATTCATGTAATAAATGAAATAATTGCATAATGGCCATTATTTAATGATGTAAGAGTTTTAGGGAAATCAAGCAGCAAGATTGGCTGTAGTTTCATCTGTAGAAAACACAGAAATTCACAGATGTGGCAAATATTATTGTTTTGTACATGTTAAGAGACAATAATCAACAGGCTCATGATTCATGGAAAAACCACCAGGCCTGTGGCCCAGGTTGTCAGCGGACCATGACTTGTGACAGTGTCAGAGTAGGATTAGACCCTTCTCCTCTATCTCACAGCTGCCTTAGATTTCATGAAATATAAATCTTCTTAAGGGAGAGTCACATTTTAGGCCATAAACACTTTCTGATGATACGATTATGCTGTAACCTACTATATTTTGTAAAATTACCCACAAACTTATTCTGTGCTTTGAACTGCGTGTGAACTTCTCTTAAATGTCTTAATTTTTTCTCATATTCACAGGGTTGGGACTTAATAAGAATTATTTTCAGCTATCTTTTCAGCATTGCTTTTTCTCAAGTATCAGAGAATTAATCAGAAATAAACCTCAATTAAACCTGTACAATTAAGCCTGAGAAGATATCATATGGTTTAAGGTCATCAGAACTGTGTCTGGCGAGTCAGTATGCTCAAATATGAGGATGGAGAACCTAAACAAAATTTTTAAAAGCAGCTTTTCCCCCCAAGGTTCTTTCTGTTTAGTTAATTTTTTAATTGTTTTCTCCCCTCTCTCAACCACAATTTTAACATTATCAGTGGTGGAATATCTCAAAGTGCCTTCTTTACAATGGAAATGTAACAATGCCATGTGACCAAAAGATTGCAAGATTTCTCAGCAATCAGGTGTGTGAACTTCATGTGTGGGGAACGGTTAATGCCTGAAACAATATAAAAATGTACAAACACATGCTGAGTGCGAAGTGCTTGCTGGACGAGGTAATCGGCAGAGTCAGTCCAAGGTTGCCTTTGGTCTAGTGATGTTTATGCCTTCACTAGAGACTGGAATTCTGTCAAGGAAGAAAGTGAGAAAAGCAGGGATTAAAATTTATTGAAAGTAGTTTTTTTGACATCTTAAAAAAGATATATAAAAATGACTAAAACTCCTAGGCATGGAGGGCTCCCAAAGTTATTATAACACTGCACAAGCTACTGCTAAACTGAGATTCTGGGGGCGTAACAGATTTTTCACTCCTTAAAAAGAGTAAGTGCAGAGAGGAGGAGTATGTCTGTAAATTTGTATTCGTGGGAAATCCTGACTTAAAGGTAAACTATATTTACCCCATTACAAACTGATAATAGCCAAGGAAAAGGAGCCTGTAGCTCTCAGCGAGAGGAGTTTTTTTGAGTTTTATTTTTCCAAATAAAAAATATCCAGAGTGAAGTAATTCCAGAGTAGGAGATTCAATGGTTAAGGGCCAAGATCTGCATAATATAATGCCCTATCTGAGGTTCATAAACAGAAGCTGCAAAAGCTGCTGCTAAAGCAAATTCCTCCAACAGTATATCTCCCTCTCCCAAATCTGGCTAAGATTAGCACGTGTGTCTGTTGGAGTTATTGCCACCTGTCCTAGTTCAGCTGAGACAGCCCTGTTTTCAGTGACTTCATCTCTAATACATGATGCATAATGTCCTATTTTTCTGTGCTGCAGCTTCTAAAAGAAATATCCTGGCTAGTTCACATCATCCCTGTGAGGTTTTCTTCAGGAATTTGATTGAGTTTCTCAAAGGATTGCCCAGTGAAATGTGCACTTAACAGATAATTTCCCAGAACAAAATCCTGTGCTGCACTGCTGCAGTTGCAGACTTGAGAAACAATACCAGTCATATTTTACATTAGTGAATTAAGCACCCAGTAATAGTGACCAATGTTTGATAGTGGAAGATGAAGAAATTAGTTTCTTTAGGTAGAGATGTGTTTAAAAATGGAAGTGTTCTATGGCCAGAAGTGCATAGCATCCACTGCTGAAATGGAAATTCAGAGAAATTCAGGTGTTCTGAATGTTTTAAAAATCTGGCACATTGAGTCTGTGGATTAGACACACAGCAGGATTAACCCCAAAGCTGTTATCATTGATTGGAAGATAAGACTCTACACTGGGCCTAAATATTATGTTGCTGTAACAGAGACCAAATGTGAGTAAAGCTATGAAAACAAAGGAGTATCTGCTCATATAAAAATTGTGGCAGAAAGTATCAGGCCAAAGTACTCATGTGTATTCTTCATGCCCCAATTTAAATGCAGCCCAAAATGTGTGCATTTTAAACCACAAATTTTATCAATTTTCAGAAGTCTTACCTTCCACTCCAATTTTGCCATCACCATCAGTGTCTCCTGCAGCCAGAAAAGCCTTGGTCTCCACCGAGGTGAGGGCTCTGGCATCTGAAGAGAAATTCTTCAGGAACAGCCTGAAATAGAACAGGATGCTGTGCTTGAGTTTTGTTCTCTGAAATATCCCATAAGGTAATGTCTGCTCTTATTATCTGAGGGAATCCACACAGATTCAAGGAAAGACAAGGATTTGTGTTTTGTTTTAAAAATAACATCAAGGGTTTCTTCAAGGACACCAAGCAAGTTCAAAGGTTTTTGTTGTTTAAGGAAGTAGAGCAGCTGAACAGTACTTACTGCAGCTCATCCTCTTCAATGAAACCACTCTTGTCCCGATCAAGGATTGCAAAAACTTTCCTTATTTGATCAGTACTTTTGCTGGATAAACCAACCATGGAGAAGAAAGACTTGTAGTTGAAGGAATCATCAGCTGGAAGAAACAGAAGTTGTTAAATATTCTCCCTTGAAGTCGCTATTACTGTGTGTATTCCTTGTGAATATGTATGTCTTTTCTTAAGCATCAGCCAGCTTCTCTTTCTCTTGTTCCCTGGTGTAGCAAAAGAGCAGATACAGTGGATAATAATTTCCCTTTTTAATCACTCTGTGCCTGTGGTCATATTTCCTTTCAGCCAGTTTGAAGTTTTCCGCTACAATGCACATTCTGCTAAATCAGGATTTATGCAATGTGTCACATGCAATTAATAATAAATATTGAGAGGGTGCTACTGTGACTTACAAACAGCTTCTGTAATTATTAATTCATTTTCATGGAGTCCTTTCTTATGTGGATAATTTGATAGAAGAGTAAGTAATTCACAGACAAACCAGATCTTTGAGTATCTGGAAACTTGATCTTACTGAACAGCTCTTAAGAGAAGTGAGACTGATCATTGCTTCACAAATGACACTCTCATTCTGCAAGCTGAGGCTTTTTCTGAAATTTTGAAGGATAAGGCTAACTTTAAATTTAAGTCTTTAACAGGTTTAGACACAGACAGCTTAGTGTTAAGCCAGCCCTAACTGAGACTGTGGCCCTTTAGTTGCTGCTGACCACTTGTGAGACCTTTTGAATTTAAGGGGCTATATTGTAATGTAGCTTAGAAAAAGATCTCACAGGGAAGGAATCTAAGGGAAAAATGATAGGCATGTCATCTTAAGACATAAAAATGGTATTCATCTTCTGTCTGCAGAGCAACCATTCCTTACCCTGGCAGCTGGAGAGAGCAGATTCAATATCCTTAGCAGAGAGGATGTCAGTGATGGCCATTGTTGAACTGGAAAATAAATTAACTGTGAGCTACTTAGTCATTAAAATTACTTCTCTCCTACTTTCATGGCTCTATTTGAAGTTGCTGCAATGACAGTGTGTGATAGGGGAAACATTATTCATCTGATGGCAAGTGGAGCATGCTGTAACAGATGTCTGCAGCAGGTGCTTTCACTGAAAGCTGGGAATGAGGGAGGAATTCTGCACGCGGGAGCGTGGGGCTTCAGGAAGATCTGATGCCTCTGCTGTGCTGGGAGAGCAAATCCAAGGTGTCCAACACCACATAACTTCATGACTTATGTGTGGGTTTTCCTAGAGGTGGATTATTACTTGGTAAAACCTGGAGTGTATTTACAGCACGCATAAGAGATAAGGCTGGTATATCCCCTAGAACAATATCTGGAATAAGTGTAATTGGAATGTGAAAAATCTAGTACTATTATCAGTAGATGTAGTGATCTTCACAAAGAATGATAATATTAGTGTAGAATTAGTAATAGCAATTTTACTCATGTAAATTTGGAGGGAAGTTCCTCCCATTTAGTTGCAACAATAAATGTGTCTTGCTGGGCTACTGCATCGCTGAAAGATTATGTTTCATGAGAGCTTTGTAAAAAAGTTTTTGTCAGTATCTTCTGAGGTTCCTTTCTTTTGCATTCCATACAGATTACAACAAACCATATTTTTGCCCAGATTTTGTCATTTTAGTAGATTGTTGTCTTTAGAACAGAAGTATCATGACTTAATATTCATTCTTAGTAGAGCGGAGGAGGTGTTTTCTTCTGACACAGCAGCATTTCATCTGAGAAAAATACTTTGTCCCGTTCAGCCACCAACAGCTGCAATAGTTTGCCAGTGCAATGTGTATCACTTTACAAAATGCTATAATGCCTGAATTTCTAACAGATTTTTAGTACACTGATGCATTTACAGTTTGGTAAACTGCACACACCAGTGCAGACAGGTTACAGTTTAAAACTTGCAACATTACTCAATTCATGTTAGTAAAAGAAGGGGAATAAAGCATAGAAAAATTATTCTTGAAAGCAACAAGAGAGTAGAAATATCTTTTCATTAATCCCTAACTGGTCTTCAGCAACATCATTCTTCCTGTCTAACCACGGACTGAGAAGGAATCAACTGGTGGTACCCATTTGTAGTCTGTGCACTGGTTTGAGATCTAAACACAGGTTTAAATTTCCTCTAAAATATGAAATGGCTGCCTCTGTACCTGTTGGTTTGCAGCAGAAGAAATTGTCAATCGTTTTAGTCCCTTTCTGAATATCTCAGAAGCGCTTAAGAAAGTGATGGCACACATTCCCACTGATGGCAATGGATCCTTCCTTGGCTCAGGCTGCTGGGTTACTTTTCTTTTACTAGCAATTATTTTGTCTCAGTGGGTTCTTGTGCAAAACACTTCCCCCTCTCAGCATTAGGCAATATAACTTTGAGCTCAGCTGTTCACCTAATTCTCACTGCCGACAGGATTAAAAAGGGGAGGAGTTGAAGGAAAACCTAAAAATTACAGCATTTTTTACAAGGGGCATCGTTCCTGTCTTGTTCCATCCTATGATCCCAATGCTGATTCTATTTTATGTTAGCTTGCAAAGATACAACATACTGGAATAGAGGTAAGAATAGATATTTCAATTGCTTTCTGTTTAGGAAGCATTTTGCTTTTGTGTTTCTTTGAAAGCAGAAGATCTGATCAGCTTACCTTTGTGGTCTTCTTGACTGGATAAGGAAGCAGTCAGTTTGGGAGGAAGGTACTTGCTGTGTGTCTCCAGCAGAGCTGAGCTCACATATATATACACTTTAAGTTGTATACCATATACAGATTTTAGATTTCAGCGTCACGAAGGGGGAATGGTGTCAAATGAACTTGCCTAACTAATCATCTTGCACTATTTTTATCTCAAGAGAATACATATGATATTTGCAAACGAAACAAGATAAGTGGCCAGATAGGCAAAAAGAACAGTCATGTCAAATTTCCTCTGATTTAAGCAGAAAACACCAGCTTCTCCATGTGATGTATGGCAAGACAAAAACCCCCACTATGTGATATGCTTGATCTGAGGAGTCAGATGAAATGAAGCACAATAACTTCTGAAGAGGTGTCTTTAATGACTGTTTAAATGTGATAACTTGTTATCTTATCTGTAGACTCTCTGTGTGATAGAATTTCATAATTGTTGCACTAAACAAAAAGAAAAAATAAAAAGTATTCTTCTCAGGTATTGTTTGCATAGCAAACCAATCTAGGGAAATAATAGCCATGTTGTCTCCAGAACGTCTGATCTGTTGTTGTTTGGAAAAAAAATACCAGGCAGTGAATTTTTTGCTATAGAAGGTAAAATAATATTATGTCAATCCATCAGAACAGTTGGCTGGGGGAGGGTATTTCATCTGCTCTGTTTCCAAAGAAAATCTTACAATTCTGCAAGATTCTGACAACCTGTTTAGTCGGCTATGTATGAAGCAAAAGGGTTGTGATCTGCCCAGCTGTCTCTGAGGCAAAAGTCCCTGAGCCCTACGTGAAAGATCTTTGCCTTCAGAATAGAGAGAACAATTTCAGTAGCAACATCATCGCTACAACAATATCTGAGGAGTGTCTTTTCAGTTTTCAGCCTGTCTTTAGTCTCTCTCAGAGAAGTGATTATTTTCTAGAATTGTTTGTCCAGTGCTGTTTCCCAGTGTTCCTTTGTGCCAGTTACTTTTTTCATGGATGTAATTTGATCATCTCAATTTTCTTTCATGAATGTTGTAGCCTAACTGGGTGAGGAGCCTGTCAGCTTGTATCTCACTTGTGCCTTGAGGTTGCAGAACAGTGAAAGACAAGTCATATGGATGACAGCACAAGGTATCATTATGGCCAGGATTAAGGGATGGCAAGGGATGACAGTGCAATTGGCATCACAGCTTGAGGTGGTGGCACAGTAAGAGGTGACAGTGCAGAGACTGTCTTAATGTCAGAGAGAGTATCAAGGCATCTATTTTCCAAAGCATTTCATGCTAAGATGGAAGACAGACCTAACCACCTAACCAGTCACTGAAGCCAGCCACTAATAAATCAGGATGCCAGACAGAAAAGTGATGAATGGAGGGTACCTACAAGACCTTAGTGCATCCAGCACTCACAGCAGATGAGCAAAAGGCAGCAAAAGACCACTGCAAAAGATTCTCTCTGTGGAGGAGTTGCTATTTCATTTGAAGTACATAAACATAAGAAAAATTATTGCTACAAGTTCTTTTTCTTATTATAACTTCTGCAAGTCTGTCCTCCACAAAACAGTTTCAGACACAGATAATTATTTTGCAGAGAATTGTTGGTTAGGAATGGCTGTGGAAGATTTCAGCTTTCCCTGTTTTCTGAATGGGTTCTTGACCAGCTGACGCTGAAAAATTTCAAGAAGAATTTGATGGAGAGATATTTAATACCGACTCTTGTTGTCGCTGGTGACATCTGGTAGAAGGGGTACAAATACCACTTTCCCCCCTCAAACTCTTCTGAGAAATGACTTTTATTCTAAATGGGAAAAAATTCTTCTCCCTTTTACACACACCACCCTTTTCTCCCCTTCCAAATTGGAAAATTGTCTACATAGTGCCAACAACTGATGTGCGGTACGTAGGGCGTCCAACATAAAAACTGATGGCATGATATGACCTAATGAAGCTAAGTTAAGAGGAAGGCCAAATTCTGCTGAAACTCTTGGACTGCAGGAGTCTGCATGGGAATTTGGTCCCTGGTGTCTATTTCAGAGAATGCATTTGATTTTAGATGCAATGGCTTCTCATTTTGCCCAGAGCTAATTCCACATATGTTAACCCCTCGCCCCCACTCTTCCCTTTAAAAATAGCATTGATTGCTGTTATTTCCCTTTATGCCTGTGGGCTGTTGCCATTAGTTTGAACTTTATGTGAAGCACATAAGGATGCAGTCTTTAGAAGTGTGCTGTGTTTTCTAAGAGGCTTTGACAAGGTAATTCTTTTTGTGCTCCACAATTTTAAGGGTAAAGCATGTAGTCAAATGATTTATGGCTCTGGTCTGTACAGCTGTATTCAGAGTCCAGCAAAATTTTGGAGTCACTTTTCTAGTAAGATTGGAGGCACTAGAGATCCATAACATGTGCATTTATGAAATGCAGGGGGATCATGTAGCTATTTACAACCAGCCTCAAACAACCATTTTCTTTTCAAGCCCTACATTAGAGATTGCATAAACATCTGTCTGGTCACTTTCACTTTCTTAAATAAAGTACTGTTAGGAACTTTGCAGCTGCCCTTCAACTTGGCAGAGGACGAACTGGGGAAGTATGAAAATGTAAGGAAAATATATCCCTTTCAGCTTGCCAGGTTACCACTAAAAGCAGTTTTAAACCCTTGAGCTTGAGAATTTCTCTTTGCTCAAGGCTCTTTGCCTTCTGGAGGCATGGAGTTGTTTTATTCTTCCCATTTTTAACCTTAATTCTTTTAACATCTGATGCTACCTCCCCAGGTTGAAAAGCTGTATTTTGTGTCATCATAAATTCTGTGATTGTTCTGTGATCTGTTCTTGTCATTCTTTGAGTGCCAATGTGAATCATGTGCAATAGAGTAACAAAAGTGCAGCAAAGAGTTGTGTGAGTGCCTGCTTTAATTTAAATAAGTTTAATTTAAGTTTAATTTAAATAAGTGGTTTAGTGCCTCGTACATGCCTGAGATTATTTTCAGATGAATGAGATGAATGCTTCTGGTGGGGGTATCCGTGGTCACAAGTCAGGGAACAGGAGTCACCTGACAAAATGTGTTTAACCTATTGTTAAATGACAAGTGAGTAGTGAGAGTGGATAGATGTAATTTAGTGTAATTGTATTAATGCATCGTGCTCTAGTCATTTGAGGAATGTAACTCCTGGAGAGATCTAGGAATATTTGTGAGTGGTTTTAGGTTTATATTACCTAACCTACTATCTGTAGACACCTCATAACTAACCCCCAGTAAAATGCTGAATTAAAAAAAAAAGCGCTGGAAGGGTTGCTATGGAGGGAGGAGGCTGTATGTGGGAAATACACCAAATAAGATCTGGTTTATTTTTGCAAATTTAAATGAATCACAAAATTTAAGTAATTTATTTTTCACCAGCTATCATTCTAATGTCACGTGGGTTGAACCTCTGAGGTAGGTTTTCAGAGATGCTAAAAATTTACAATGCAGCTTTTCAGTTACTAGTGCCCTGTAAAATGTTAATGTACAAAGCTTTTTCAGTCATATTTTTCTTATATGTGTTAAACATAATTTTTAAGCCAAGTAGATTGTTTACATAAATCAGACAGTTTCTGGACCTACATATCTGAAATGGGAATTTCAATTCTGATTCCAAAATTTGAAAGGAATATGGCCCTGATGTAAATTCTATGTGATTTCTGAAGCAGCAGCTCAAAACTTTTATTCTCAAATTTAACCTTTCCAGGTCACTTCCATTTCTGTTTCTTTCTAAAAATGTTCATCCAGTGATGCAGAAGGAAACAGGCTTTTTTTTTCAAGAAAGAAATTCTCATAGACTGATTTCTGAAATTGTAGATTCTTTGGTCCGTTAAATCTGATACAATCATTCATAAACAGACAAGATACTTGAACCTCCACATGATTCTATCCATAAGTCTAAAATTACTTGCAGTAAGTGTTAGAAAACCTGTAGAATCAATTTTCTTGCCTTAATTCTGAAGCAAAAATTTTACTGTTTTTGAAAGCGTCCAAATAAAAATGGCAATAAGAAGTATGTGTAGGATTATCATGGTTTTTGAGCAGAAAATGAAATAAATTCAGCCAAGGCAATCTTCTCTAGCTAAGTTGGAAGCAAAGACACATGCTGAAAACAGAAATTCTATTCAATATTTGATCTACCATATTCTGTTATTGAGCTGTGTTCTTCAAATCTTGTGTGGTAAAATCTCTCGAGGGGATCCTTGTTTCAGGAATTGTAACTTTAGTCTGTGTGTTTATACTGTGTAGCCTGGTGCAGTCCTGCTCCATGACTATGGTTTACAAGCACTATAAATAATCCTCAGTTGCAGCAAGCTTTCACATATAGACGTGTTTGAAATGAACTCAGATGTTTTTCAGCCTGTCTGTATGTTCCTGTGTAGTCCTTATCCCACTGTGTAAACAGCGGCTCCCACTATAAACAGTAACAGCTCCTTGGGTTCTATAATTGCAGGAGCACAAAGTAAGAACTGGGTCATTATCTGTGCTTATGCTGATCTAGTACTGATAGTGCTGAATAAAGCAGGGCCTCTCTTCTGGCAGAGTTGCTTTTCAAGGAGGTATATAGATATATTCCAAGGATATACGGGTTTCAAAAACCCCAGATGCTGACTCTGAGAGACGTTTTCTCTGTGCACAAAGCCTGGACCCAATCTGACTTACAGGTGCCCCTTGAAGTGTGACTTAATTCTCTTCTCCTCCATTTACTGAGATTGGGAAATGGTCAGGACTTGTCTCAGCTCCTTCCAGCCTGGAGTGCAGGGCTTCTTTCCTATGCAAACTAGAGTGTAATAAGGGGCTGATGTGTGTTTGGATATTGTCCAAACATGGAGTTCACGTCTCCAGGGCACAGCACCCAGACCCAGGAACTCTGAAACATTCTTTTGTCCCTCATTAGACGTTGCCAACAACACTGACAATAATTAGAATGAGAACTATAGAAAAGTAAGCTGAATGAATATGGAAATTGGTACTAGAGACATAACGGCATTGGATATGAAAGCATTAAGTCTTCAC